CTCATCAAGCTCCACCAAAACGCCGGCAGATTATTCTCTCTCTACAACAAACTCATCAACCTGTACTCTCAATGTGGCCGTCAAAATCTCGCCCACAAACTGTTCGACAAAATGCCTGAAAGAGACGTCGTCTCTTTCAACACTCTAATATCCACTACTCTTCGCATCAATCGTGACCCATCCATCGGTTTCAGCCTCTACACTAGATTACTGGACGAGGGTCTGAGACCCAATTCCATTACTTTCGCTTCTTTGCTTAGTAGTTCGAGTGTGTTGAGCAACGTGCAGCTTTTGGAGGAAATGCATTGCCATTCGATCAAATTTGGGCTGAACTCAAATGGGTTTGTGGGTTCTGCTTTTGTTAATGGGTACGAGAGGTGTAGAGGGTTAAAGGATGCTCTTTGTGCATTTGAGGAGATTGCAGAGATAGACTCCGTTTCTTGGAACATAATGATAGATGCGTGTGCAAGAAGCGGGTGCAAAGAGAACGCAGTTAAGGTGTTTGCTAGAATGCAAAGGGAATGTAGTAATAGATTTGACTGCTTTACTTTGACGAGCGTGCTGAAGACGTGCGTCAAGAGAGAGGATTTGGGTCTTGGGACGCAATTGCATTCATGCGCACTGAAGGCCGGATTGGAGTACGAGACTCCAGTTGGGAATTCTCTCATTACAATGTATTCTAGATGCGATGGAGATATGAAATCAGCAGTTTTGGTGTTTCGGAGAATTCTTGAGCCTAATATCATTTCTTGGACAGCAGTTATTGGTGGTTTGGCTCAGAATGGTATGGCAGAGGAAGCAGCATCATTGTATAAAGAGATGGTGACTCAAGGTGAAATAGAAAACGAGTTCTTGTTCGCTAGTATATTGCCCGTGTTCAGTGCCCTGGTGAACCTTGAATTGGGAAAGATGGTCCATGCTAGAATTGCGAAATCAACTGTTTCCTCAGATGTGGAAGTGAGCAATGCTCTTATAGATATGTACTTCAAGTGTGGTGACTCTAATGATGCTATGTTGGTTTTTGATACCATGAGTAACATAGATGTAGTTTCTTGGACAGTGATGGTTTCCGGGCTCGGTCAGCATGGGAAAGGGCGAGAAGCGGTGCATGCCTTTGGTGAAATGAGAAGGCTAGGATTTAAGCCAGATGATGTCACGTTTCTTGCTGCACTATCGGCATGTAGCCATTGTGGGCTTGTTGAAGAAGGGCTTGATATGTTTCGATCTATGGCTAATGAATATAGCGTGAAGCCGAGGAGGGAGCATTTTGCTTGTGTCGTCGATTTGTTAGGTCGTTCTGGGAGGTTGAGAGAAGCTGAGATGTTTGTTAAGGAGATGAGGATGGAACTTGATTCGTCTGTGTGGGAAACACTTCTTGGTGCTTGTAGGATACATGGGGAGGTGGAGATAGGAGAAAGATCTGCGAAGAAAGTTATGGAATTGGAACCAGAAAGAGACGGACCTTATGTGCAGTTATCCAATATATATGCTGATAAAAACTTGTGGGAGGAAAAGGGGAAGGTGAGATGTAGATTGGATTCAAGTGGTCTCAGAAAGGAGACAGCCCGAAGCTGGTTTTGATGTTTTTGAGGTTTGGTTCGTTAGCAAACGCAGCAGAAAAACTGACAACAGACAGATCGATGATAAAAAGAACGAAAGACTGACAAACAATCACAAACATAGAGATTTAACGAGGTTCACAATCAATGTGATTAGCTATGTCCTTGGACTACAGCGACATCACAATTCTACTATTAATGAATAAAAGATTACAATCAATCTCTCAAATCCTAATTTCACCTATTTCTGACGCCCTTGGGATCTCCAAAGTTGGGGTGCATCCCGGGAACTGATGATGTGTATTCACCATGTAAATCAGCGTCGTATCCAACAGCAGTCTAACATAGTTAACGATGAAAACCAGCGACGTCGTACGAATTTATCAGCTTGTGCAGCTCAAAACTGAAAAAAAAAAAATTCCATTAGTTACCAATATCATCTCTGTAAGTCTGTTTTCTGAGCTTTCTTCTGCTTTAATGATATGAGCACAATTTTTACATAATTCACAACTTCAGTATCTACATAGCATCTAACAGCAATCTAACCATACTCATTCATACGTCATTTACCAGGAGTTGTATTTGACGCACCGAGGGTAAGACTTTATTCAGGAGTTCAACACTTTTATGCAATCTTGATGGCGCGAAATAGCAATCATGCACTTTCTGATACTACCGTATGAATATGAATCTTTACATAGTCAATCCTTCATCATTTGATATTGGCCATTTGGATTATGCATTAGAGAACTTGATGCTGAAATACTCGACATTGGGTCCTAATTGCCCAAATTCCATCTATTCTGATAGTTTATTGATGTATTGTCAAATAGAAATGGTTAAGAGTAAGAGAAAGAGAGATTTTACTAGAAGAAGAAAAAAAAAGTAAATTTGCATTGCAATTCTATCGCCTGTACTACATTCAAACGAGAGTTCTCGACTGTATATGTAGTTATGTACAAGCATACGACTGTGACCATTCCTGCATGTAGTTATGATGATCCCGAGGCAGTCGACGTCGGATTTCAAGGGGAGGCGATGGTGGGAGAGGGATTCTGGGGATTGATGGGCGAACATGGCGACGGAGGCAACAGAGGGGTTGATTAAGGGGACGTAGCCGTAGTCAATGAGGAGGGGGTTGAAGTCGGGGCCCGAGAGGACATTGCCGGATTTTAGGTTGCCGTGGGGGATGTCGAGGGAGTTGAGCTCGGTGTGGAGGTACGCCGTTCCCCATCAGGCAATGCCCAAGACTATTTTTGGTCGGTTCGTCCAGTCCAAGGCCGCACGGTTCGTTTCCCGATCACCTGTAATGCATAAAAATGTCGTCTGTATAAAAAAAAAATGACATGACGATGGACGATGCAGAACACTGAACCTTACCGTGAAGCATATACAGCGAGCTCCCCTTGGGTACGTACTCAAAGACGAGCAACTTCTCCCCCTCGGCCCTCCCTACAATGATAAGCAAGAGGAGGCAAAACATTCTCATGCTTCATCCTCCCGAACTTCCCCCTATCCTTTCCGACCTTATTCATCTCCCTCCCCCCCTCTTCTCGGCCATTATCACCACCGAGTTCAAACCGAGAGTGACAGGATGGGTCCGGTGAGCTCATTATTCGACAAATCTGGTAACGTTAGCGGCGGAATATCCAACGGAGTGATCCCCCCAGAGAATCAGTAAATCGCTAAGTTCAAGCCTACCACCGTCTATAAGAAGGAATCAGGCCAGAGAACTGATCGTTCGAGAGGTGCAATCTCTTCAAATAGTCCATTTCTTTGAAGAAATCATCAGGAAATCGACCGGTAAATCTGTTATCGGACATATACAACATTCTCACCCCATGTAAAAATGCCGATAAATTCAAGTAGTTATGACCTCCCATCTGTAAGTAATTTCTTTACACTAACCAGCAAGACCGACTGTTTTTCCCCTCCGTTTCGATTGCCATATCGATATTGATCTTCACCGTACTAATTTATCCTCTGACTTGAGCCACATTTTACTATCTCTAGCTTGCAATCATTGGTACTAAATAAATGGTCTAAATCATTTCCCAAGATAATTCTTTCTAACAACTAACTAGTTGATATGCTTCGAGACACACCAAGTAGTTTCCTTTAAGGTGCTGTTTGGTTCGTTTCCTAGATATAGAGAAATGCATTTCCATGTACAAAAACACAAGTTTTGAGTTTTCCAAACTTTTCCAAGAAATAGATTGTTTCGCTTTAATTCGCACAAAAAAAATGGTGGGAAACTAATGTATTTATTTTTCTTGTGTTTGGTTCGCATGGAAAAAAAGGAAAAACTTTTGTTTATATGGCAAAAAGCTAACGTGGCTGCAGTTTTCGTCAATTTTATGAGGTTGAGGAAGGAATTGGGGAAGAGAAAAAAAATCTGATGTGGCGGCGATTTTTACCGAGTTTCCCTTCTTCAACCCTAGCGAACCAAAGATGGGAAAAAAAACTCGACGAAAAACTTATATCCTATGTGACCATGAAAAAACTGATGTGGAGATGGTGCAAAACTTTTCCACAGGGTTAAAAAACAAACCAAACAGCCCCTAATAACAATCTATCTACTTTTAGAAAAAAAGTAACTACTTTTTTTAAATGAAAGCAGTAAACGAACCGAGTTGTTCTCCTCACCGAGCAGAAGTTCAAATCGCTTTACCACTACAAGTAAAACGACACAAATTACTGAAAACCCCCAAAAACATCACACGACGCGCACAAACGCCTCACGCCCAACAGTGGCATTTTCGTAGATTTACTCATCTCCTCCTCCTCCTGTCCTTTCTGCGATCTCGATCCGAACTCTGCCCCAAAAACAATCGCAATTCCCTTTCTACTAAAAACTCCACTGCCCTCAAAATCTCAAAACCCGCCCTATTTGAAATGCTCGTCCCCAAAACCCTAACCCTAACCCTAAATCTAACCGTAATTCTCTAATCCGCCATGGTCGAGATGTTGCACTCATCAAGCGGCCGCTTTCACTTGAACAGCCACCGCCGATTTCTCCCATGGATCCGCTCCTATCCAGTAACCCTACTAACAGTTCTTTGGGTTATCGGGTTCGGATCCATCTTCATTTGGCAAACAACCTCCATTACAGGAAGCAGGATCGCTGGGGGACGACCGATGATGAGCTACGCCCCGATACCGATGCTGAGGCCTGTGGCGTTCAATCTGACGGAGTTTGGGGGCGTCGGAGACGGCGTCACGGCGAACACGGCGGCGTTCGAGAGGGCGGTGGATGAGATTGCGAGGCTTGGGGGCGGGCAGCTTAACGTTCAGCCTGGGGTTTGGTTGACGGCGCCGTTTAACCTGACGAGTCATATGACGTTGTTTCTTGCTGAGGGGGCCGTGATTCGTGGGGTTCAGGTGAGGACTTTTTTGCAAATTTGGGAATGTTGGCGATCAAAATGTTAGTTTATGCAAGTTCGATGTTTGGATTTTAGATCTAGATGGAGTTGAAGCTGTATTATATGCAAAGAGTGTTCTAGTTTATGTCAAGAGTTTTTTAAAAAAAAGTTATTGATTAAGATGTTACTTTGCATTATTCTAGTGACCTTTGATCTGCATTTTGTTGAAAGCGGGAGCTTTAAAAAGGTGGTTTGGCATTTCTATTATGTGAGAAATATAATTTATCTTTTACAGACTTGATGTTGAAGCTAGATATAGAGATGGAACGAGGAATTTAGAATAGTTTATCTTTCTACTGAGAGATTTGATTGAGATAAAGTAGTGAGTGAGTACACATTATGAGCTTACATGGCTACCTGTTTAAAAACCTTATTACCAAGCTTGCTTCAATGTGCAATAGAGCATATTAGTGATAATTTCTTGTATCACATATAACACAAAGCTTTGCAGGTTTATTCTATTTACACTAGGTCTATGCTTTTCCATGCTTTGTGTAATGCTCAATGAGACGTGATGTTAGGGAAACTTACATGATATCTTTGGACCTAAAGTTGATGTCCATACGTTGTGTCCTAGTAGTGTGTTCTTATTCCTAGTAGTGTCTTTAAGCAGGATAGTCCATTGCTATAATATGGAGATGGAAGGAACATCATTGATTTATTTTGATTAAAATGTTCTTACTTTTATGGGTTATGCATATTGTATCAGGATGAAAAATGCTGGTTGTTAATGCCTCCATTGCCGTCATATGGACTGGGAAGGGAGCGTTTAGGACCTCGATATGGAAGTTTAATTCACGGCCAAAATCTGAGTGATGTTGTGATAACAGGTGATTATATTTAATGTTCTACTTAATCCCTTTCGTTAATCTCTGCCCTCTTTGGGGTTCTCCTTTTCTTCTACAAATAGAGGTAAAAGTACTATAAGAAATGAATAAATTATAGACAAAAGCAAGTATAACGCAGGTCATAATTGGCAAGGAATACATTTTTTCTGTAAATCTGTTGCTATAAATTTGACTTGATAGCTTGCTTAAATACCTTAAACCATTTTCTATTTCATATTTTATTATCTACTTTTGTAAATTTTCACTTTCATCAATTGGTTGTACTTTAGTTTAATGAATCTTGATCTAAGATTGTTTAGAGGATTTTGGCACTCCTTAAACGCGAGACTGAATAGTTATGAGGCAGGTTATTGCTATTTTCCTTAACTCATTAACAAACCACTTACCTCATTCTTTGGCATATGACTTACAGGTCTGTGCACTCCAATTTCCTCTAAACCATCTTTGACATTTTGTCCAAAACTAAAGGCTCTTAATCAAAGGTATTGGTTGTGCAAACCCAAGCTTTGGAATCCTAGATTTTTGTTTGAAACAATATTTTAGCAGAACATTCGAACCAACAAGACAGAAATGGCTATAGAAGAAAGTAACATTGGTTTAGGGTGAATAGACTGAGCAAAGGATAACGTTAAGATGGGTTTCCTGTCGTTTTCTTGTGCAGATATTAACTTGCAACTTTATGCTAGGTAAATGAAATCATTGAGACTCATGAATATGAAAACTAATTAGAGATGGATAATAGCAAACTACCAACCCCTACTAGTAAACGTCTTAAATTAAATTTGAAGCTTTGAATTCTGGGCTGACATTGGTCCTGTAGCTTTGTCAAAACTATCCTCAGAGTTATTATTTTTCATGTCCAAGCAAAAGTCTTCAATGTTTGGCAGGATCTGGTTTGCATTTGAAGTTCAGCTTTGAGTTACTTTCTTCCACACGGATCAAAAGTGCATGTGAAGCTTACCATGCAGATGACCTTGCACCATTTCGAACACTTTCCACCTAGAGAGCATTGCTGACATGTGTATAAGCCTTAATTGTGATGATCTAGGGCTAGCTTCAAATATGGGGGCAAGAAAGTTCTTGCAATTTAGACAGTCAAGTTCATTAGAGCCAAAAATTTAATATTTCAATAATTTCCCTTGAAATTTTGGTGATTGATGATGTGTTGAAGGAATGAGCTAACAACTGGATAAACTAAGGAGAACCTCAACATCATTGATAAATGGTGGGACATCTTTTTCTATTACCATTCAACTTGAATGTAATCTAGAGAGGAAATCTCTTCTACATCTGACTCCTGTGAGTTTGCTGGCTATGTTGCACTAGACTAAAATTTGAAAGTCAGATGGACGTCATTCAATATGGTGTGTATGTTTCCATATCTATTGGCCTAAACCCTTATTTGACTAGTATCAAATAGTAGCTGTTTTTTCTTGGTATAGAGTATCTATAGCATATATGATTGTCCTGAAGAAGTTGTCTCACATTACATAAGCAGCTTAATAGCCTGTGTACTATATGAAAATTGTTGATTATCAGTTTCATTCTTTTTGCATTTTGTTGTAATTACTCTTTCATGTGTTGTTCAATGGGATGCTGACTATATGTTGACAAATGACAACTATGAGACATGAACTCATTAACTTTTTCCCCTTTCAATATAATATGAAATAAAATGTGTCTAGTTTCAGTTTTCTACCAACTTAACCAGCAGTCAATAGTTGCTTTATCTCATTGTTAAATAATTTACTTCACCACTGTAGGTTTAGGATAGTATATAATTAATTCTCAGCACACTATTATTTTAGGGAGAATATCTCACTTCTTTTCATGTCAGAAGCTTGTTTGTTTTAGTTATTTATTTTCCACTTTTAATTTTTCAATTAATCACAATTTGATTTCTCAATGACCTATACGAGGAAATATACTATAAGCTAGAGATTTTGTATGTAATCTTAGACTAATTGGCAATTCATGATTGTTGTTGATTAATATTTTGCCTTAGATAAAATCATAAAAGTTTTTGAATTCCACAAGACCAGAATATATTGTTTACTTGTCTAAATGTTCTACCTCGCTGCCTGACAGGACGCAACGGCACTATAGATGGTCAGGGTCAATCATGGTGGTCAAAGTACAAACAAAAGCTACTTAAATATACAAGAGGTCCCCTCGTGCAGATAATGTGGTCTAGGGACATAGTTATTTCAAATATAACACTACGTGATTCTCCTTTCTGGACGCTACATCCTTATGATTGCAAGAATGTCACCATCTCAAATCTTACCATTTTGGCCCCTCTTAATGGAGCTCCAAACACAGATGGAATAGATCCAGGTAAGCCTGCTGGCCTTTAGTTTCTGGTTGGTTCTCCAGTTACCAATAATCTATATATTTTTCATTTGTTATCATTGGGTTATGTGGGCATGGATCATATACCTCCAATAGAGATCTTTGGCATTCTATGATATAGAGACATTATTTGTCAAAACCCAATTGAGTTTACTCTTATGTGTTTCTGATATTATTATTTCAACTTCAGACATTACTGTTATATCCTGAGACCTAAACATCTTGTTTGGCATTTGCTTTATTTTGCTGGGTGATTCTAGGCATCCAGACACATTCTTGAAGAAATTGTCTTGTTACAATTATTTTATTACATGTATTAAGAAACAGGTCATGTTTTTTCATATTCCTACTGATTTAAATCTTGTTATAAGCTTGTAATCATATCTATTTGAGGTCAAACTTCAAAGTGCTTCTTATGTTCTATGTAGACTCTTGTGAAGATATGGTGATAGAAAATTGTTATATATGTGTGGGTGATGACGGGATAGCAATAAAAAGTGGCTGGGATCAATATGGAATTGTGTATGGTCGACCATCTACCAATATCCTCATTCGCAATGTGACTGTTCGCTCTGTTGTAAGGTCAGTATTTTCTAATTATTTTCACCTTCATATGTAGAGCCAACGAGAGTTGACAACATTGTCAGTCATCTTTGAAGTTTAAACATCCTGAGCTTATATGAGCTTACTTGAAATACACGCGCACGCGCAGGTGCATGATACAATAGGGATTTCATATATTCAAAATTTATTCCTGTGAAAGCTGTATGTCTCCTCTACCATGTCATGGGGGATGTACGGTCACAATGGCTCCAGTTTTCCGTGAATAAATTGTAAATTCCTTCATAACCTATTCAATGCTCAATGTGCGTAAATGTCTCTAATGTATATTTTCCTATTTATCGATCAGGTACTTCTCTGTCCCAAATGTTCCCAGAAAGCCATAATCTTGTGACTATGGTCTTGTTTATCACATTCCTCTTCATATTAATCCCGTGTCATTTTAAGTTTTTAGCCAGTGGGAAAGAATTCATGAATGTTCAGAATGTTTTACATTCAGTTATTGAGATAGTTTAGTAAATACCCCCTTTTTGATGAGAAACTTTTGTAGCTATTCTAAACCAAAGTTCATGTTTATACCTTTTTCAGTGCCGGAGTATCAATAGGCAGTGAGATGTCCGGTGGCATCTCCAACATCACCGTCGAAAACGTCCATATCTGGGACTCGAGACGAGGAGTGCGAATAAAAACCGCTCCAGGACGAGGAGGTTATGTCAGTAACATAACATATCGCAACATAACCCTTGATAATGTCCGTGTCGGAATTGTTCTCAAAACTGATTACAACGAGCACCCCGATCTAGGGTTTGACCCGAAAGCTTTACCCACAATTAAAAACCTCAGCTTCATTGGATTCCATGGCCAAGGATGCCGGGTCCCGGTCAGGATCCATGGCAGCCAAGAAATACCAGTTAAGGGTGTGACATTCAAGGAATTTTCAGTGGGTATAACATACAAAAAGAAGCATATATTTCAGTGTTCATATGTTGATGGGAGGGTTATTGGATCGATATTTCCTGCACCGTGTGAAAACTTGGATCGATATGATGAGGAGGGGAATTTGGTGAGGAGATCGAAGTTACAGAATGTTACTGATATTGATTATGATTTTTGAAGAGAATGGTCTTTCTCTTCTTTCTTTTTTTTTCTTCCCGCCTTTCTTGAAGTTTTTGGCCCTCTTTTATTTGTGAGCATTTGTACAGAGTTCATGGGTTTAGAGAAGACAAGTTTGGTTATTTAGAGATGGCAGTATAGATTAATTTAGGTTTACCCCATTCCATGTTATGCTTTGTTAGGGAGCAGAGTATGTTTTAGTGTAGAATCTTGGGTTATCCATTGAGTTTATACAACAATTCATGCAAGATTGGATACTTTGCTCTAGATGATATCAAGGTTGTGTGTTTCTACTTTCTAGTATATGTGTCCTTGTATTTTTTTTATTTTTTTATTTTTTTTGAGGGGTTTTTTGGGCACCCGTGAATTTGGATAAGATATACTATATTTAGTGTATTCCTAAAGCTCAGGAACTAATTGCTAATATGATGGCTTGAATACCATGAACAGCACCCATCTCTATTCTTTCTCAATATTCCGGATGTGATTAATAAATTTCGATTTAGAAATTATATTGCGTGAACTTTAACAAATCAAAAAATTAATTAAATTATCGAACCTCATTTCGTCAAACATCACTGACCCAGCCATTATTATTTGAATATAATTGTAGGGTGTCTTATTTCGTATTTTTATCATATTTCTCATAATTTATCTTTTTGGCATTCAAATAAATTGGAAGAAAGAGGGAAAACTACTATCATATGCAGAACTTAATTTTGCATTGTTTCAACTTATAATACTTATTGTTACACAAAAGAAGAGAAATTAAGTTTTTTTTCAAATATTTTTTGAAGGGAAATTATTATTTGAAGAAGGTTAAAAAAAGAGAGGTAGATTTTGTATTCTTTACTATTTTAGTTTCTTTTCAGTATTAATAATGTCCAGAATATGCTGTTTTTTATATACAGTTGAGCTTGATAACATGATAATAAGCACAAATTATGGAGTTTTAATTGACAATTAGCACTAATAATGGGCAATGAATGTAATATGGTATGTTATATCCAAACTAGGGCATCCGTTAGGGGGGAGAAAAACTTTTTTTTTTAAATATATGATACAATGTTTTTGTGGTTGTTCGCATATATATCCTTTTTTTTTTCGTATGGCAGTTAGCGGAAATGTTGGTATCAAATTCTAAGAACTTACACCATAGTTTAAGTTAGTTTCTGTTATTTATAGATGAATCAAGCTTAAACATAACAATTTTATCCTTTAATTATTTATACCTTAGAGTTAGGTTTAATGAAAGCTATTACTACATTATTGTCAATCAAAAATGTTTGAACAAGCGTACCTTTAATTATTGATACTGAGCTGAAGGTGCTCCCATCTCCAATAGGGTGACCTCTATAACGTTTGTCCCTAAAGTGCGAAGGCCCACAGGCCCAAATAAGGCCGTCCTGACGAGTGACGAACACGGGTTCGACGGCGACGCCGGTCATACCGACCCGCGTGCTTTTACCTTACCTTTTAATTGTATAATATAAATATCCAATAAAAGGGAAATAGAAAAAAAAAGTAAAAGTAAAATGGCAAGCTGTTTCCTAGAAAAAAAATGATAGGGGCACACCCTTGGACACATCACCAACCACACTCCCCCTCTATCGAAAGTGCAGGGGCCCCACATGTGATTTTTTTAAAAAAAATTACATGTGGGGCCTCTGCACTGTAGATAGAGGGGAGTGTGGTTGGTGGTATGCCCAAGGATGTGTCCCTAAGAGCATCTCCAACATTTTCTCCAAAATTTTCTCCAAAATGGGGAAGCAAAAGTCATATTCTCCAACTAATTTTTACACTAACTCCAACAGCTTCCCCATTTTGAAGAATCCATTTTTTCCTCCAAAAATTTGGAGAATGCTGCAGATTTGGGGAAGCTTCCCCATTTTTTCTCCTCCATCCCTATTTTGGGGAATGAAAGGGGGAATCTGTTGGGCCAAAAACCTAACTAAATTCTCCAAAAATGAAAAATGGGGAAGCTGTTGGAGATGCTCTAACAACCCTCTTCCTAGAAACTGCGCGCTGAGTGCTTACCAGTCAAAAAGGTCACTTGCGTACTATAAAAATGGCAAGACTTATGATTATTATTATTATTATTATTATTATTTTAGGAATAAAGTCTCTTCAATATTGAAAACAAAGGACATGACGTTTTTCTTTGCCGGACAGTCTGGAAAGTGCAAAAAGCCATTTATTTCTTCTGCAATTATAATACGTACACAATCTAAGACCCTTTCCACATGGAAGGTTGAAAAATGTGTTGGAATTCAAAGCGTCAAGAACGAGGTAGTATTTTAGGGTTAGTTGCATATATAACCCTTACATCATAGGTATTCTGAAAATACCCTCCAAATCTTAATATTTTGCAAAACTACCTCTCAAATCTTGGAAAAATTTACCCTCAAAGCAATTAATCATCAACTTTCGTAAGCTAATTTGTAATTGCAATGTAAAAATTATCAGCAAAATAGTTAAATTTTTAGTACCAAGTTGATGATTTGTTGATTTTAAGGGTTATTTTTTGCAAAATTAATGATTTGAGGGGTAGCTTTGTAAATACAAAGATTTGAGGGGTATAACACCCAGGGTGTATATGTTAATAACCCTAGTCTATATCATAATGTAAGTTCTAGTTTTTTTCCTTATGCAGAGATATCATGTTTTCTCACTCCTATCTTTTACTTACATACAAATAAATAAACATACTAATAGTGAGAGTTGTGTCTCATAATTGTTATGCAATTAATTGTTTAGTTTTTTCCTCTTAAATTGCTGTGTTGGTTCTCTCTGGCCTTTTTTTCTACCTTCAGGAGAAGAATCTCATCAGCACCTAAAGAAGATCATGTGCTGGTCGTAGTGTTTTTTTAGGGTTTTGCTACAAGGACCCAAAATATCGGACCAACAATGGGGGACATGTGAGGTGTCCCCCTTCTATTGCATAATGAGTTGATCATCATTAATGATGGTCAGCTTATTATGCAATAGGAGGGGGATACATCACATGTCCCTCATGTTGGTCCCATATTTTGAGTTATTTGGGAATTTTTAAAATTTTAATTTAACTAAGTTCAGAAGCATGAGCAGGAGATTTGGGAATTAAATGAGCTTGAGGGAACCGGCTTCGAAGTAGTCTTAATTTGTTGGATCACGCTCCTAAATTAATTCTGATTATCTAATTTTCGATGACGTATATGATCAGTTTATAGGCTTTCTCTGGGGATCTTAAAATAATTTTATTGATGGCTTGTAAAGCTGTTATGAGGAATAGTAGCTTTGGGTTTTAAAAACAGTGACAATTGAAGAAAGAATATGAAATAAAGTACAAATTTACCATTTAATTGAAAAATAAATGAAAATTTGATTTTTTTTAGAAGCACCAAAGCAATTCTCTTACTAATAATCCTTATAACTAAACTAGTTTCAGGCCCATGTGACCTATTTGTTAAAGTTTGAGCTTTCAGGCTAATGAATTTAAAGTTTTTTTAAAACTTTATGTAGTAAAAATAATAATAATATCACATTTCTACGTACTTTCATTACGAATTACGTAAGCCAGAAATAACGTTACATGAAACTCAAATAGGTTCACATTGTAGTTAGAAAATCGTAAAACTCAAATGGAAAAAAAAAACTTGTGCAATTAAAAAGTTGTTTTAGCCATACTAGCAACTCCACATGTGCAAAGATGTGCATAGAGAAATGAATAGCCATTTAAATAGTAAAATTCATGAAAAAACTAATTACTTTCTATAAATTAATTTTTATATGATTTATATGGAAAAAGTTAAGTAAATCAGAATGTT